GGAATTCTTGAACTAGTTGAGGTAGGCACTGGAACTCTTTCTTAATTTCACGTGTAGGGATCTTACTCGGACCTGCTCCATCCTTAGTAGGTATCTTAACAACTAGAGTTATATCATTAGAGGCAACTGTGGCAATGTCTCTCTCTGGAGCCTTCCCTTTGAAACCGAAGTAATCTACCTGAGTAGCTGGAGATTTGGTGCTAAGCTCTCCATACCTCTCAATATCCTCGTACCACCATGTCTCATCGTACCACCATGGATATCGCTCACCGGGCATGACCTTGCTAATGGTCTCTCCGGATTTTCCACTTCCACTACAGACAGCCATTACCTGAGCTTTCTGTAATCCTAATGACCAAACAAACTTATTAATAGGCACTATAACATACTTTCCTCAAGATTCAGAGCATACAAATTCTAAAAATTTGTTCTGAATGCCAGAACCATTTGCTCTGATACCATAAATGTAACACCTTACATTTACAACCTTATATTGTGCCAAGTTAAGACATTCGGAAGCGCAATTTAAGGTTACCGGGTTGAAAGACCTGAATTTGAAAATTCTTTTCCCGCATTACTATTCATTGTAACCTTAAACTTGGCATAACTTTGGAAAATCATAACTAATTCTAGAAAAATTGAAACAAGGTCGTTCCAAGTCTCACTCGAAGCTCTTAACATCATCTATCAAGGAAAAATGACCTCAGGTTCCACTTTAATCAGAAACGCATCCGTTTTCAATTTCGAAAAGTACTGTTCATTTGGTCATTTTTCTATTTTCCAGGATTTTTGCCTAACTTCGGAAAGGCATAACTTCTCACACAGAGCTCCGATTGTGACGCTTTACCACTCATTTTAAAGGGAAAAATAATACCTATTTGCATGCCAAATTTCAGGGAAAAAGTCAACCATTTGACTAGGGTCTTCGTTGGTCAAAGTTTGGACAAATCTAGACCATTTTTATCCCCTTTTTCACTAATTCTAACAGCATTTCGTTTTTCACTATAACCATACCATAATCACATATAAAGCTACTCTACCATTAATATACATTTAAAAAGGTTATCATATCATGTGTTTATGATCAGAGTATGCTTACATGGCTTAAAAGAGAAAGGTTCAAAACCGTATAATACAATACATAATTCATAACTTCCTCAAGCCATGATTATTTCCTTTCCCTTCTCCTTAGCAGTAGTGGCACCTAGGATATCATGTTATAGGAGGAATGAGATTTCATAGAAATCCCAGTAGCATTGAACATACAACCATCAAGTCAACATGCATAAGATGTCATGCTACATGCAGTAAAATAACATTTCTAGTCTTTATGCCATGCCATAACTATTCTGTATCCATGTCATCATATCATGGAGCATATAATCAAAACTCAATCATGCAAGAGCCAAGGCATACATTGTAAGGAGTTCACATCATCTGTACATAAACATTCTCATGGCACATAAACACACATAGCAGAAACACCAAATGCAGATCAACAAAATAATTGCAGTTCACGCTACCTCAATTCCACGCTTAATGTTTCCTCCTTGTTTCCTTGCTTAAGATCCTCTTAGGTTTCCAGAAAATTGCCTATCAACCATACAGTAAGGGTATGGTAAATTCCATATCCAGTATACCATTCTTTCTCAATATAATGCTACCCTTGTGCCTTTCAATTTATAATTTCTATATACCTTTCCTAAACCTTTGACCTTGGTTTGTCCAAGCCTTAATCCTCAATTAAGGTCTTGGAATTCTTCCTTAATCCATGATTAATCATGCTTTCTTGGTTAATCACTAACCCTTAGTCCTTAATCCAATATTTAATTAAGGTCCTCAAGTCACATAGTCATAATCCTCTAAGATTAAGTCACTAATCCCTTATGGATTAACCATTAATCATTCTCTAATCAACATGATTAACCCTTAATCATTCCTTAATCAACATGATTAATCATTAATCATTCTCTAATCATTATGATTAAGCTTTAATCAATCCTTAATCAACATGATTAACCATAATTAATCATCCTTCAATTATCATAACTAATCACTAATTAATTAGGGTAGCTAACCTTAATTACTTACTAATCCTTAATCAAATAACATGATTAATCTTAGCTATCACTAAACCATAATTAATCAAGGTAATTAATCCTAATCTTCCTCAAATAAATAATCAACTAAAAATAATTAACACTTAGGGAGGTAAACATACCTTAATTAGCTCTTAATCGGCGATTAGAGGTGTTTAAGCTTGCTTTCTCCCTTTCTCTCTCTTCTTTCTTCCTTTCTCTCTCCTAGAACTCAAGAACACAAAATTCCCTCTCAACAAAACCTCTTGGCCGAATTTGTTCATGGAAGGGGGGTATTTATAGGCTTTGATATTTCAAAATGCCAAAAATGCCCTTCGGGAAAAAGATGCGATCTCGGCCGTCCATTTTTTTCTACTTTACACATGGACAAATCTTAGGGCACACACCATAAGAAGTTGACACATGGATGGACACCTAATCACCATGTGATTTTCATGTGGAAATAAAATATTATTTTAATGTTTTGTCTCTTATTTCCCTTTATGCCCTTGAACAATTTGGAAAATTCCAACTTTGTCCTCCCCTTCTAATTTTGGCTGAAATATTGCTCTCAATATTGGAAAAAAAATGACTCATCCAATAATCAGTGCAATCCACTGATTATTTGTGTATTTCCGGTCCGATTTTCCAACAATCCTGTCCAATTTACTGTCACAAAATTTCGATTTCAACACCTCATTAAATTCCCCTCATTCCAAGGGTAATCCATGATTTTTCTCAAGTTTTACCTCCCTCTATAATTTTCTAAATTTTATTCTGTCAAAAATCACTATTCTACCGATAATAATTCGGTAATAAATATTCTTTAAGCTAACCTCTGTACATCCAAAGGTGGGAAGTAATTTTATAAATTAGGATAATATGTCACATAATTTATCCCTATTTTTCCTTGAATTTTTGAGGCCTCTATATATTTTAAATAATGGAAATTGGCTAATTTTTCCTTGATTAACCAAAAATTCCAATAATTGCAAATAATTCTCTGATAAATTATTTTTAATCTTATATTCATCTTCTAAGCGTCAAACATTATTCTGTACCCTCCTTTCTATTTTTCATGATTTTCTGGAAATTTTTAGGAATTTTGGACATTATTTCCAATACTACCCTTTCTTGATTGATCTTTTCAAAAATGACCGTTATGTCCCTATCCTGATTTTTCCTCATAGCTTGGATCCTCTACCAGTCTACTATACTATTTGGCCTTAGTTAGTCACAAATCATTCATCAATTAGAATAAAATTATCAGGGTGTGACACACTGGGCACCATAAAGTTTATTTGGGTGCAAAAATATACATGAAGTTGTCAAAAGGGAGCATCTGGCACCATGCCGTTAACGTCTGCCAGTGTACCGTTAGCGGGGCCCAGAAAGTCAGTTTTAAGGTGCATTTTTAATAACAAAGTTTGCATCAAGGGGCATTAGACAACATGAAATTTACTCGGGTGCAAAAATATACATGAACTTTGTAAAAGAAAAAAAATAACAAAATTCTTCAACTTCCATAAACGTCCATTAATTTTATTCTTTTGGGTCTCACCAAATGCTATATTTTCTCTCCGTCAATTTTCACTTCCAAGTCGATCCATCTTTCTCTCATCATAGTCAACACGCATACTCTCTCTGTCATGTCGTTTTCTTAGCCTCCAAGCCTTTTGTATGTATTTAAACAAAACACATCTTTCCCTTCTAGGATGAGGTTTATTGCTTGCATCCAAGTACTACTTCCAGTCCTTAATATAGGATGCAATGGACTAATTTGAGGAGATTAAAAATAAATAAATAAATTACTTTAAAATATTATATTTATTGTTTTTTCTCCAAATTAATTTTCTTGGCTTGTAAACTAATATATAATTTAATGATGCATATAAATATTTTAGAGAGATCATATACTATATGCTATTGCGTCAAATAAATAAATAATATAATATTTAAAGTAATTTATTTATTTATTTTAATCTCCTCAAATTAGTCTATTGTATCCTATATTAAGGATTGGAGGTAGTACTTGGATGCAAGTAATGAACCTCATATCCTAGAAGGAAAAGATGTGTTTTGCTTAAATACATATAAAATGCTTGGAGGCTCAGAAAACGACATGACAGAGAGAGCGTGCGTGTTGACTATAATGAAAGAAAGATGGATCGGCTTAGAAGTGAAAATTTATAGAGAAAAAATATAGCATTTGGTGAGACCAAAAAGAATAAAATTAATGGATGTTTATGAAAGTTGAAGAATTTTGTTTTGTTTTTTTTTCCTTTTATAAAGTTCATGTATATTTTTACATCCAAGTAAATTTCATAATGCCTAATGTCCCTTGATGCAAACTGTTATTAAAAATACACCTTAAAACTGACTTTCTAGGCCCCTCTAATGGTAAACTGACGGACGTTAACGGCATGGTGCCAGATGCTCCTTTTTGACAGCTTCATGTATATTTTTGCACCCAAATAAACTTTATGGTGCCCAGTGCTCCTTAGGGTAAACTTTGTTGTTAAAATTGCACCTTAACCCTATAATGAACTAAGATTAAGGTTTAGGAAGAGGATGAAGATGATAATGTGGATATTATGAAAATTAAATGGATAATGAATATATGATGGATATAGCACAAAATTTAATGGAAAATATGAATAAAATATTTATTCAAATTTAAAATACAACAAAAGAATTATCTACAAAAGAAATTAATTATTCAAGTTTTTTAGTTTAGGATGGAAAGTGGGAAATACTTTGGCTAGATATTTTGGATAATTTTCAATTAGATACCTGGGAAATTTTTTTCCGATTCCAAGTGGCTGCCATAAATGTAGTCTCCAAGATTCTAGGAACTACCTAAGTGATAGAATCAGATCTCATTCTATCCACCTTTCTCGCTATATATGTAATACTCTAGTCTCAATAATAATATGAGCTATTACCACATAAAAATTACATCATATTTTTGAATTGTCATGATCAGATAATCAGTTTGCTCTTCATTGCTACAAAGAACAGTTAAGCTATGTTTTACAAAGAAAGGGAGCACAATGGCATGCAAAGAAATACATCTGTACAAGATCCATGACTGTGGGCAACAGAGAAACAATTCCATCAAGTCGCCCATGACTGTGGGCAACAGAGAAACAATTCCATCAAGTCGCCTGCAACAATTCTTTAATATCATATCCTTGAAGCTGCACACAGAAAGAGGAGAAGCCATCTTAGCGCCGATTAACAAATTCACTTCAAAAATTACTGACAGTATTTGCATAGCAAGAGAACATTCTGACACGTTAATGAAGTTATATACCTGAAGAAAAGTTAGAAGTAATATTACTCCTGAGTTCCAGAAAGCATGTATAGTGATAGGGGTTAGAAGGTTGTGAGTTTGAGCATATGAAATCCCCAAAGCAGTCCCTGCAGACATCACTTCCTGTTATTTTCTCTACGATGGTTTAAATTACAACTTAACTATGAAACAAAAAATCAGCCTCGCATCCCCCAATATTTTTCTATCCCTTAATTTTCTCCAAAAATGCCAACATAATATAGCTTATCTCCACCTATCCAACTTCCTAAGATCTTATATTTTAATTTATATGATACCAAGGACAAAAAGCTGTGGAAATTCTCCTGGAGTGAGATGTGCAAGAGCAAACACAGCAGCGCTAATGACGATAGCAACTGGCGTAGGAACCCTGCAGCAAGATGAATTAAACATGAGAGACTATACCCTGTCCACAAAATAGAGATGATGATGATGATTTTAAAACAGCCAAATTCTAGCAAGCATCTTGATAGGCTGAAACTTAATTCTGCATGCATAGTATTAAAATAGTTTAGTGTCAAAAAACAAATATGAGAAAATGAAATCCTGAATCCACAGAGAAATCTGTACTCCACGCAATTCTAACCATGCTACACTTGTCTACATCTTGACCAAACCTTGATTTTATTCCTATCATAAGATGTCCTGAAAAATGTTTAAATCCCATAAATAATCTTCTTTTATCCACATCACCAATGAGCCTACAGCAGTTTGTCAAGGACACCCTGAGCATCTCTAGAGAGAATTTTATCATAACTTTAAAAGAGGAAAAAAAAGGTTTGACTCCGAAATCAAAGGAAATTAAATTCAAAAGGAATGAAATAAGGGCAGGGCAAGAACTACCACTTAGTCAAGGATGCCATAAAGAAGCCTCTAAACACGGTCTCCTCAAGAAGCGGAGCAAGGACACCTGTGATGCCAACCAAGCAAGCAGTACTATATGCAAATAATCAATAAATTATTGTCACTCATGAATCTTTGACACAAAAGCTAAATATGATAATAGATAAAATAATTGACATACCTAACATTTGAAAATCCAATTAATGGAAGCAAGCGAACAAGGGCATCCATCTAAAGATCAAGTCATAAAAAGCCAATAAGTGATCCCAGCTAAGTCAAATGCTCATGAACATCTAGCTCTATTAAATAGGTTAAGTCAGATTAGTCCTTGTGCTTATTCCTCCAAACCATGGCAATGTATTACAATTACAAACATCTTGTAAGAAGAATTTAAGATAGTTGTATGCAAAAAAATAAAAAAATAAAAAATTTCAAGTTAAAATGCAAATCTACTTATGAAATATTTCGCCATGAGCATCTAACACCATAAACATTTCGTGGATACAAAACTATACACAAATTTTTTTAAATAAAAAAAATGTCAAGGCCATTATGTCAACTGACATTGTGATAGAGTCCAATATTAGGGGCAATTTATAAATTAGTTATTTTCAGTTATTTTTAATCTTCAATTTTAGGTAGTTATATTCAGTTATCCTTTCAGACTATTACAGTGGGATTATTTAGATATTAGTTATTGTCAGTTATTGATAATCCTTATCCTAAAGTGTAGGAAGTTTAGTCAGTTATTCTCAGTTATGTTTTCAGCCTATTTAAATCTATTGTAGGATGACATTAGGGTGTGAATGAAATATATTATTCAAGAATTTTCATCTTTCTAGAATTTCAGATACTGATTCTAGGCTCTCTCTCTCTCTCTCTCTCTCTCTCTAACACACATTTCTCTTCTACCTTCTCATCTCCTCTTTCCCCTCTCTTCCCATCTATCTCCCAATTCTTATTCTCTCTTTTGCAGAACCTAAAATTTTGGTGTCAGAGCCTAAACTTTCTAGACCTGTTGGGACATTATGGTGAACACACGCCAATCAACCATTAACAATGTGCCCCTCCTGCCAAATCCTAACCCCTCTCACAGTGTACCTACCCCCACCAATTCTTCAAACCTTCCCTCTATAGAACTGCTTTCCCAACAACTATAAGCCATTATGGCCAAATTAAATAATTTGGATACAGAAAGGACTACTTTGAAGCAATAGAAGTCATTTTAAGAGCCTAAAGGAAGCCACAGCCGTAGAGGGAAACAGATTCATGAAGAAGTTGATGATGAAGAACATGACAACCTTTGGTGGAAAAAGAATCCTTCTAAACGCCCACACTCTAAAGTAGAATTTCCTAAGTTTGAAGGAGGTAATCCTAGAGGTTGGGTTGTGAAGACAGAAAAATACTTCAGGTATTATCAAACACCTATATACCTTAAAGTTGATGTGGCAGCCATGAACTTAGAAGGTGATGCACTAGATGTTTTTACATGGGTTTCTTCTGGAAGACCAATCAATTATTGGGATGGCTTGATTCGAATTTTTCAAGAGCACTTTAGCCCTGCTGAATTTCAGAATCCTGATGTGTACCTTTGTAGCATCAAACAATTGGGTTCCATGCAAGAATATAGGCAAGAATTTGTTAGAAGGTCTTCAAGTGCATGGGTGGCCTGAGCATTGCTTATTAGGTGTTTTCATCAATGTTTTAAAGGAAGAACTACAATCAGATGTTAAAATTCAGAAACCCTGAACTATTTACAAGGCTGCAAGCTTGGCTCTTGAATTTGAAGCCAAGTTACAAAATCTGAATCTGAATCATCATGGACAGCGATCTGGAGTTACACGTAGCAATGAGAGCAGTGTCAATTTCAAGGAAGATAAAGATGCCAACATTCCCAGGCTGCGTTCAAACTCCGCTCTTGTAAACACATCAGTTGTTATGTCAAGTTTCAACATTCAAAAGCAATTATTACCAACTGCTACTGGACCTTCCCAAAGAATGACCCACAAGCTGACAATTTCAGACCGTCATAGGCATTTTTGTAGAGACAAAGGGCTATGGTTTGTAACATCCCAACTTTTGAGTCTAGAAATACCAAAAATAGCCAGAATTGGATAGGCTACCAAGCTCTTTCTGAGCAGAAGTTTCAAAGATGAGAAAAGAAGTCAAAACAGTTTTAGAGATTAAACTGCAAAGTGAAAGTTTTCAGGGGCTCAAGTATAATCAAAGCTAGATGCTCCAGTAAAATTTTAAGAGCCCAGAAAGAGAAAAGAGAGTAGAAACAGGCCAAGGGTTATGTTAGAAACCTCAAAGAAAGGATTGTATGAAGTTAAGTCCAAGCAGGAACTAAACTGTAAATTCATGTTAATGAATGATATTATTATTCAATGTGTAATCCTCCTATTATGTAATTTATGTTATTGATGCCTATGATGCCATGTAATTAATTATAATATTTATGGCATGAACGAAAGTGTATGAGCATGAATGAGAAAGAGTAAGCCCACGTTATGTATGTCAAAGAAATAAAAATAATTAAAGTAAAGAGATGCTAAAGGATAAAACGTAAATCCTTAAGCAGTAAGTTTGTAGCTCTAGTTTGACCTATCAAACAAATAAGTTAAGTCACGAGATTTGGCAAAAACATAGTACACATCCCAAGCTTTAAAATGAGAGGTAGATCACCTCAATTAGATGTATACATAAGGAGATACGAATTTTCAAAATTAAGGCACAGAATCTAGAAATTCCAGATTTTACCAAATGAATAGTAATATTTATTGATTAAACTGTACGAATTGGGCAAAGATAAGTCTAATTGGATATTTTTCCCTTAAAGAGAATCAAAATAACTTTCCATATAATTTTAGAACATCTCAATATGATTTTTTTGGAATTAATTATGAATTTTTGAAGTTGGCTTGTAATCTGGAACTTAAACAAAGAATAGTAACCCGAATAATTATGTTGAAATTTTAAATCCGCAGGCTTGTGTCATGATCTGCTTGAATCATAACGCTTACGAATGTGTACTCTGAGAGGTTAAAGGTAGGGCGTTTCATTTTGGTATCAGAGCAGAGGTTCTGGCAAGTATGTAAACAGAACAAAGGTTCTGGCAAGTGTTGAGACAGAACAAAAGTTCTGGAGAGGTTCTTACCAAGGTATAAGCAGAGTATTGGTTCAAACAAACCCGGTATGAGGGAAAACCTAAATTAGAAAAGTAACAGATTACTAGGATTAGTCCAACTGAGGTTAAGGTATTGATGTGTTTTCTTCAAGGGAAATAGACATAGAAGAGAAGTAAGGAATGACAAAAAGTAACCTGAGAGATAGGTAATCGCTGCTAAGGGACTCCCCCTCAAGAGAAGAATGGTTGAGCTAAGAGAGCTTGACCAGGAAATGATTCAAAGTTGAGAGACGTCTCCAGAGGGTAATAGCTAGGAGTATGGTAAGCCAGTAAGGAATAGGAGTCCAGACCCTAATAGGGAAGCAGGGTGACAACCCAAGCCTCGGGTGATTGGTTAAAGGTGCTTGACTAGAATATCACACAATGGAGATGTTTTAATGATTAATGCCTGCTGTATAATATAGTCACTTTATGATTAGTATATGACCATAGAAATGAATGGTTAAAGGTACAATAAGCCAGTTAGAGGTCTAAGTTAATACCCTAGTAAGGGGACCGAATGTCAACCTATACCTTAAGTAATTGATGTGACCTCAATAGAGGCAAGGTAACAGGATGAGACATTTGAGGTTTGTTCAAATTCCTGAATAGAGGTAGAAATCCCAAAGGGATAGTGAACCAAGAGAGACAGAGATGAGATGATAATGAATGAAGGGTCAATGATGATGACCTACGTGCCTGACCTAGATACCACACAGCAAGGTGATTAAACGTTCATTGTGTGATGTGGTGAGGGTATGGTGATCAATACCTGTCCATAAGAATAATTGGTCAAGAGGTAAAAAAAGTTAGAGAGTAAAGTAAGGCAAGATCCTTCTTGAGGATAGAGATGAAAGGAAATAAATAAGAATATGATAGTGGATGGTTACATTAGGAACTAATGCAAAGAGAGAAATAAGCAAGTTCCTAGTGATACCTAGAGCTCAATGATGCTTAGATACATGATAATGTTAGAGACTAAATAGTACTCTTTTATGTCCCTAAAGTATCCAAGAACATGCAACCATGTAACTCAAGCCATTAGGGAATCTAAGGAATGAGATTCCTATAGATAGATGCCACTGCCTATAAGATTAAGTAATCTAGTGGAAAGGCTCCCTTTGATAGGGATATGATATTTGAGGAATGTACCCTGACAGAGATTGCATATGAGGAAAGTCTTGAACATGAAATACCTCTCTAAGATAGGGAAGTGGTTCTCCGAACCAGAGCGACGCTGCTCTAATAAGAGTAAGCTATCCTCTGAAGGAATGAAACAGAAAGTAAGTGGTTGAGTTGACGACGCTCGAGTCAGAGTAATCTGTCCTCCCACAGAGAAAGTAGAAGTAGCCAAAACAAGACACAGGACGGACCTTACCCCAAAGAGAGAGAGAGTGAAACTGGTTAAGACAATAAAAGTGTGATATGCAAACAAATGCTCCTTGAGCTTAACAGGGTACTACGAAATACTGAAGGATATTGAGAATGTGATGATATAAGTCCTCTCCTGATGTTGTTTAAATTATTAAGAGACAACAAAGACTACAGAGTCCTCAGACAAGGCAGCCTAGCATTGATATAATGGTAAGTTAATAGGTTCTAGAGATGAGCCAGTACCTAAAGATTCAAAGGCACAAAGAAAGGAAAGTGGCATAAGGAAGCTAAAACTAAGGACTAAAGAAATATGGGACGGCTAAGAATTCTAGGAATTGACGGAAAGGATTGAGTAAGGCCTAAGAAGACAATACTGATATCTGTAATTAGTCTTGGGGAATAATCAATCAAGTTACCAGTTGAGTGGAGGTGACTTATTTTATTACTCAACTCTATGGTCTAGAGTCTCCTAGAGATCCTAAGGTGGCTCAGATAGATAATAGTATTCCAAGGTCACGATGGATCCTGAAGAGGCTTACAGTAAAACGTAGTAGCTCCCGAAGTCGCAGTAGACCGAGCTTAAGGAAAAGTGGTTAAGCCATAAAAATAAGTGTATAGTATCTCTTTGGGGAGACTATAACCAGAGATGAGTTTAAGATATTGAAATCTTCTTCGGTGGTGGACAATATAGAGAAAGTACCCTTGACTTGTTCCAAACACCTCTATTGTTGATTAGACTAAGCTCAATTCTGTTCTAGTCAATGAATGAAATAAAAGAGATATGCCCTTAATATAAAGAGGAATGGCAGGGTATACAACAAAAAATAGATAAAAACCGTATTAAGGGAACCCAATATGCCATGGTATAGTAAAATACCATAAAGACAGGTATATTGTCATAGTATTATGAGCCTAAAGTATAAAAAGAATATGAGTAGTGGTGACAAAATACTTAAAAGCAAAAGTCATGCTCATGTAAGTGACCAAAAAAAAAACGACAAGTCATGTAACTATGGAACCCAGAGTTGAAACCCAGAAATGAGGTATAATGAAAAGTTGAAGAAGTCAAAGTTAAGTATAAGTAGGGATATTTTCCTCAGTTGACCTCTCGTTAAAGGTAAGAATAGAGGGTTAACTCAGAATTTCGAGGACGAAATTCTTTTGAGAGGGGGAGAATTGTAATATCCCAACTTTTAAGCCTAAAAATACCAAAAATAACTTGAATTGGATAAGCTACCAGACCCCTTTTGAGCAGAAATGCCAAAGATGAGAAAGGAAGTCAAAGAAGTTTTAAAGACTAAACTGCAAAATGAAAGTTTTCAAGGGCTCAAGTATAATCAAGGTTAGAGACTCCAGTAAAGTCTTAAGGGCCCAAAAAGAAAAAAGAGAATAAAAACAGGTCAAGGATTAAGTTAGAAACCTCAAAAAAAGGATTGTATGAAGTTAAGCTTAAGTAAGGACTAAACCGTAAATTCATAAAGTCATGACCAACAGGGGTAAAAATGAAAGAATATACAGAGAATTCCAAGAAAATCCCAGAAAATAAGAAATAATATTCTAAGGCTCTTTTGTGAAGAGAAATAACGAAAATACCCCTGAAACAGTTTAAATGGAATTTATAAGGTTGTGGCCGATATAAAGTACATGGTTCGAGATAATTATTTGAAATAGCAAGAGACCTAAAAAATATATACAAAAATGAGATTAAATGGTTAAAAAGTTGTACTAATTTATAAAATTAGTCCCGTAACCAAAAAGCCAGTGGAATGGCTTTAATAAATTAAAAAATTGATTATGCCGATAAAAAAGCATTTTAGTAAATGAATTTTTATGCAAGGCTTAAAGAAAGTGTTGTGGCTTAAAAAAACTCATAGATACTCTCTAGAATTAAAGGAAATTTATGAAGTAGAAAGAAGAATATTTTGAGCTAGGACCTAATTTCCCTTCTCCTCCACCACATTTGTAACACTTGGCATCTTCTAGAAGAATGAGGTAAGGATGATGCAAGAAGATGATGCAATGATGATGTAAGAGTCAACTTTAAATCTATGGGTAGAACACTTCATTTGAATATGTGTACAATTTATGGTGATTTTTCAAAGTTAGAGTTTGAAATCTAAAAACAGCATTTAACCTTTAGAAGAGTGTCGAATTCCGTACAATTCTGGTACTGTTCAGCGTAGAATTGGTTCCTGAAACTATTTTTCATTTAAAGAGAACTTAAAGAGCCTTCAGTGAGACTTGGAACCGCTCAGTTTTGATTTTTCTAAAACTAATTATGAATTTTCAAAGTTGCGCAAAAATTCTGAAATTTCTGCGTGAACAGTACCCGCGAAACAAAATTTTCAGACTTGATCTTTTTGAATCTAAGGCCATCTAAAGTGGTCCTAATTGACAAAAAATAGATCTTAAGGATGAAAAATGATGAGATTTATACTAGAAAAGTTAAAAAGAAAATCCTAAAACCAAAGGAAAAAAGTTAAGTTCAAGAGAATAGATTGTATGATCATTATGACTATGTTTAGGACCTTAAAACATCCAAGAGGATACTTAATGATGTTAACCGAATGCCCACATAGTTGAAAAGTCAAGCGAGTCAAAGGAAAAGTAAGAAGAAAGCTTGAGGTGCAAGGTAGTGAACTTACCTATTATCATTGCTTGATGTTGTATGCTTGTGTTACTGTGTGCATGTTATATGAATGTTAATGTGACATGTTTTAGTTGCTCTAATCGCTATTCATGATGAGTAGATTATGTCTCCATGGCCATGCATCAAGAAGTTAGCTTTGAGCATGCTAATATGGCACTAATTAACAAGAAAATAAACAAGTTACGTGTAGTGCATTAGCATCCATCTAGCATGATTAATATGGTATTGTTTGCTACTGAAATTCTCCCGAATCTCACCCCCTCCCTAACCAATCATTTAGGTCAATCAATGATGGGCAATAATGGAATGAGAAGTAAGAAGAAGAAAGTGAAAAATTGTTCATGTTAATGAATGATATTATTATTCAATGTGTAATCCTCCTATTGTGTAATTTATGTTATGGATGCCTATAATGCCATGTAATTAATTATAATATTTATAGCATGAATGAAAGTATATGAGCATGAATGGGAAAGAGTAAGCCCATGCTATGTATGCCAAAGAAATAAAAATAATTAAAGTAAAAAGATGTTAATTGATAAAACGTAGGTCCTGGAGCAGTGAGTTTGTAGCTCTAGTTTGACCTATCAAACGAATGAGTTAAGTCACGAGATTTGACAGAATTGTACACATCCCAAGCTTTAAAATGAGAAGTAAATCACCTCAATTGGATGTGTACATAAGGAGATACGAATTTTCAAAATTGAGGCACAGAATCTGAAAGTTCCAAATTTTACCAAATGAATAGTAATATTTATTGATTAAACTGTATGAATTGGGCAAAAAATAGTCTAATTGGTTATTTTCCCCTTAAAGAGCATCAAAATAGCTTTCCGTAGAATTTTAGAACACCTCAATATGATTTTTATGGAATTAGTTATGAATTTTTGAAGTTAGACCTATAATCTGGAACTTAAACAGTGAATAGTAACCTGAGTAATTATGTTGAAATTTTAAATCCGCGAGCTTGTGTCATGATCTGCTTAAACCATAATGCTTACGAATGTGTACTCTGAGAGGCTAAAAGTAGGACGTTTCATGGTTTAAGTATGGAGATAAATTTGTCCCTGGACATAAGTGCCAACTCGCCTCTCTCAAACTCATGGAGATTAGCGAGGAAGTAGAAGAACCTCATTTGGAAGCCCCAGATTCGAATTCATCATTTACAAATTAGTTATTTTTAGCTATTTTAATCTTCAATTTTAAGTGGTTATATTCAGTTATCCTTTCAGACTATTATAGTGGGATTATTTAAATATTAGTTATTGTCAGTTATGGATAATCCTTATCCTAGAATGTAGGAGGTTATTGGGAAGGTAGTAGTCAGCTATTCTCAGTCATGTTTTCAGCCTATTTAAATCTATTGTACCATGACATTAGGGTGTGAACGAAGTATATTATTCAAGAATTTCCATCTTCTTCTTTCCTAGGATTCCAAATACTGATTCTAGGCTCTCTCTCTCTCTCTCTCTCTATAAAACACATCTCTCTTCTACCTTCTCATCTCTTCTTTCCCCTCGCTTCCCTTCTATCTCCCAATTCTTATTCTCTCTTTTGCAGAACCCAACACATTGTTAGTTCAGCAAAAATATAGGTTAGGAAATGGTGAAAAATTACGCATGGAGTTTCCAAAATGATGAAAAATGCCATTGCCATAGGAAACTCCATGTGTATTTTTGCATCATTTTGAAAACTTTATATACATTTTTGCACTACTTTCTTGGTTGACATGTTTGTTAAACAATCAACATTTGTTAATTTAACAGACGTGGTATTTTTGCACCATTTTGAAAACTTCATGTGTACTTTTGCATCCCAAAAGAAAAAATTTTACAATGTCTAGTACCCTAGTGGAATACTTTATGGATAGATTTGCACCATAACCCCTTTTTAACATGTAAAAGCAGATTCAGAACTTAAATTATATGAATGGCAATTCTTAGTAACTCTTAAAACTATCATGTGAAGTCTACAAGATAGGATCCAACAATTACACATGCATCAGCAAGAAGATATTATATCATAATGTTCTATAAAAATTTGTGAACCTCTCTTTGTGGGGTTTCACCGCTAAAGAAGGACATGGCAGCTCCTGTCAATCCAATGGCAACAAGGGCGGCAACAAGTCCAACTCCTGCCCACAACAGCCATCCCTCTTGAAGACTTAAAGGTTTTCTCCAGTCTGAATCATTGTTTCCACCATATGTATAACTTAGCAAAAGTGCTAACATACTCCAATATTGTAGATATAAGATAATCACAAGTACTCAATGTCTGAAGCAACTTGCGACCATAACTACACAGAGAAGGTGCAAAATTTTCACAATGAACATATTAGATGGTACTAGTAGCAGTCACTGGAATTCATGTATAATGACTAGGCTATGGCAGTTGTCTGATATATACAAGTATAATCAAAAAAGGAGGGAGCCAGTTATAGTTATAAATACGGGGACTAGGGAAGTTGTAACAAAGCTTGTAAACTAAACAGTGATGTGAATGGAGTAAGTTTTCCCCTTCTATCTCTCTTGGCTCCCTCTCTCCTAATTCTCTCCATTCCCCTCTGTTTCCCTAATCTCTCCCTTTTTCTCCTTCTTCCTTTCTCATTCCAGATTAATACCATGACATGGTCCTAGCTGTGCATATCCTGGAGAATGGTTGTAACTAGAGAGTAATCGGGGGCAGTCGCTGCTGCCATTGCATGCATTGTCTCGTAGTTCAACTACAATGTTCCTCCAGTTCAGAAGTCTCCGAGTACATTTCCCACAAAGGGTTTGCTCTTCATCTCTCTCTTTTTGCTGAGTAGTGCCTCTTATCAAATAAGTGGCTATTAAATTGATAACACATATTTAAGGTATGGCATCATTCATTGAAATTAATATGGCAACCTTTTAGTCCGCATCCTAGATGAGTTGAGAACCTTTAAATGAACATACCATATTTAAAGAAGTCTTCTGGTAGTTGATAAGTGCTAGTAATGCCATATAGAATTCCAAGTACAACGGCAGTAGTTATGCTGTCAGGGGAGGGAAAAAAAGAAGGTAATAAGTTGAGTAATGTGGAAATGTTTGTTTTTTTAAGTCAAAAAACACAAGAAATAAAAATAAACTGGAAAGGAGGCTGCGTTGTTTTTAGATGGAACGAGGCCCACACAACCAAACATTAAGGCACAAACTTATCAGATATGACTTGAAAACGAACTCTACAAATCATATATTGACAAGGAATCTAGTTTTGAACAAGAAAAGTAATTAGAGAATAAGGTAGACAATCATAGTTAAGATTTTCACAGCATACAACCCGCCATGAATATTGTATGATCAGCTTAAATTATGTTAGAATGAAATTATTTGGGATGACCAAACCAGGACCCAAAAAAAAAAAATCGACTCGTTTCCAATTTCCCAAAAAGATAAGAGATTAATAAAATACCACGCATACCTCTGATCTACAAAGAGTATCCCTGCCTTCTCATCTAAACTTAGTTCTTCGGGCTGAATCCCAAGATATGGAACAGCTGTTGTTTCAACCAAACCTGTTAAAACAAAACTGCCTGGGAAACAGTTAATCCCTCAAAGTGAACAACAACCATGCCCTTAGAGTAAGCAAAATAAGGGCACCAGAATAATGGACTCCATCCTAGCCATACATTATTTGACATTATACAATAAAACATGATAGCTACAGTAAACACACCCCAATCCACAAGCAAGAGAGGTCAGTGAAACTGTTTGCCATTCCCAAGGCACTTGCCATCGCCTGAGAATAGGCCATTTCTGTTCAGATTCCTGAAGAGGCAGCAACAAAAGTAAGTTATACTCGCACCACAGAGGATTCTACCCAGAGGAAACACCGAAACAATCACCCAAATACAACACTCAGGTGAATGACGATAATATAATCGATTAAGTACATATGGAATAAGATAAATCATAATGAAAACCTAATAAATGAAGAGAGCAATTTAAACTTCATTTTATCCTTTTCTTGTTCCTTCTCAAACTTCAGAAGCTAAACAACGGTAACGCATATAACTCGAACAAACGAAAAAACAGGAAAGCAACAAATAACAAGAAGAAAGTCGGAGCGAAAGCATTTACCTGTTCCCGAAGTTCGGCTCCAGGTTTATCTCCAGCTTTGAAGAAGCAAACTGAAGAAAGAGCTCTCTTATAGCCAAAATTTAGCCTCGACTGAGATCGGAGGAGGAATAAATTTCTACGTTTACTTAGAAGAAATGCGCGGCCTTGTTTTGCTACGGTTGGAGACGAAGAAAACTTATGGGAATCGAAGAGGAAGCAAGGGGATGATGACCCTACACATATAAAGGCCATTGAAGCCATTATCAAAGAATACGGGGCACGAATTGTTGAGTGACAATGAAAAAAGCCGAGGCAGTTTTGAAAGAGTGAATCCCAGCACCCAAGCAGAACAAAGATAAGGCCAGCGTTGCGCAACGTGGTTGGTTCCTCCACTACCCTTCACATTGACTTCGGCACCACTATCCTCTTTTTTTCTCCCTTTACAATCGTAAGATCAAAATTCGAACGGTTCAGATTTAACATTACATAACTTTTTATAAGACTAAATATAAATATTATTACAAAAATAGATAAACAAATTAAACTGTTAGTTTACGTCTGTAATAAAAAAAATTAAAAAAATTTAACAATTTAAATTTATTTATCTACTTTTGATGATAATATTTGTTTTTATAAAACATTAAATTTGGACTGTTTAAATTTTGATCCAATAGTTGTGATGAAAAAATGAGTATAACAAGAAGAAAAGGTGGAAAGAGTATGGAGAGAATTTAGATCCCTAATCTCAAAAAACACCCCAAAGTATCACGCCTATCATTTTTTTTTTTAAGGAAAAATGACTCAGAAGAACCTTGAATATGCTAAATATCAAAATAGATATCTAAAATCAATAAGTTTCTTAAAGGAACCGATCGCAAAATGGGAAGTCAATAACAACTCGATGAGATCCCAAGGAATATTCAGGGGTCGGGGGGAATATTTTGGGACAAGTGGCATTTTAAAATTAAGGCTGACTATTAAGCCACCAAATCTAATTAATGTTATGATGCAAAATATTTTATAAGTTAACTACTTATATTTTTTTTAATTGCAGATCATTCACAACTTTTTTTATAGATATTAACTATACTTCATTAATTATTAACTGTCTTGCAGCGCCTTGGGCTAAAATGCAAAATTATTCCGGATCTAAAAGACGTGGCATGACATTGCAATCCATGTAGTTTCACTTTTAGAGTCTTATTAACTACCGCGTAAACCATATGTCATATGCCAACAAAAAGATGGATTCGAGGTTTGAAAATTATTTGAAATTAAAATCAATCAATGCAGTGAAAATTATTTGTTTTTAGATTTTTAAGGGTATAAAGGTAAAACTGTTTAAGCCAAAAAATGGACGTTGAGTCTCTTTTGAGTTGAAGTGGGTGGCTATCCTAGTTCCAATTGATACAGAAGTTATAAATGTGATTAAGATTTTATTAATGCAACCATTTCACTTTTAGATTAATGCACCAACCTGCCGTATTAATCATATGCAAAGCCACTTCATTCACACTCTCCAATAGTAACATGTTAGAAAAGTCAATAACAATGGAATTGCATAGGTAACAGACATATAAATTCATATGCACCTCAAAACCAAGTGCTCTAATCCAAATCACAAAGTCTCCAATCTAAACAAAGATTAATGCAACCGGGGAGGGCTTTACTTGTCGCTCGGCCCGAATCCGGACTAGTCGATCGCTCGGGTACAACTGGCCCAAAAAGGCTAGGGCCTAGAAAAGGCGCGGTTGGATACCGAATGGTTTATACCAAAAAAAAACAAAGATTACAACCAGATAATCCAAATTCGAACATTCAAATTACAACCACATAATAGAAAAATCATGATTGAATAGTCTAAATTAAAGATTGAAACTCAAACTCCCATTTATAGTCTAATTTGACCGAATTCCAACGCCTTGGGAGTCAAGATCACAAATTAACCAAAGATTGCACTATAGTGGTATAACATCAGGTCGTTTTACTCGTGGAGCCTTAATTAAAACCTAATAGCTAAGTATCTAAGAAAGCTTGTAAAATTGGGGGTTTAGTTGTTGAAAATCATATCGAGAAAAATGAAAAGAACAATGCAAAGAAAATACTTGTTTTGGGGTGTTTTTGTTATAAAAGCAATGTAAAGGAATTATTTAGATTAAAGGGATTCAATAAAAATGACTTTGGCTTTGGGGATTGAGCTATCCTTACTCTTTCAAAATAATTGGAAGTTTAAAACCACTAAGTCTGGATTAAAACCCTAAATAATCCTTTAGGTCCAATGCCTGAATTAGTGAATACCACTTTGATCAAAATGAATCAACATCTTTTCAAAACACTATTAGGAAAATCACTTAGTGTGTAAATGAAAGAGATGATACAATGCTTTCTCTTGGTTACTGATCAGCACACAAGAGTCAATGCAATCAATCAACTAACAATAATCATTGCAATCAATTAAAAGCCAAGGTAAAAAGTCATATATAAATCAGAAACACATTACATTATTCAGTTCAGATACAAACAAATCAATCACAAGGAAAAACTGATCAGTTATCCAAGGTGATAAATATAGCATTTAACCCTAAATCTGGAAGTTCAAATACATATAACCATAAAGATTGAAATAAGAAACTCCTTAGTGCAGTCCATGAGCTCAAGCTTGCATCCCCATCACCAAAGATCACCAACTTCAGCCACTTATAGCTCTAATCGGTTTTAGCACTCTTGATAGCCACAGATGATGAAATGGGTATGGAAAGGTGGTGTAGAGATGGAAGGGTGAAGAATAATTAGTGTAGAATTGAGAGATTGATTGTGGAATGATGTAAAACTAAAGAATGTTTGGATAGGAGTAGTGGAGAGTTGAGAGGAATCAATAGAGGCCAAATCTTGATAAAGTCTGACAACTGACTGCATAGATTTTCAAGCATTTAACCTAATTTAAAAGCCCTCCACATCAGCTAAATGAAACTCTACATTTTGCTGTTTAAAACGCTTCGTTATGGCCAAACAAATCCTTCACTAGAGCGAAGTGGTACCAAGAGGTATTATCGAGAACTCAAAGGCTTCGCCATAGCAAGTGGCGAAGCTATATATTATGCCATGGTGATGGTGTCCAGCGAGGATGATTCCTTCAGGTTCTTCTTTGGCTTAGATTTCTGTATATTTCTTCACTTTAGGCTCCCTATGATTTTTTTCAAGGTCTTTAACTCCTTCTTTGGTTCTCCAAATCCTTTCATTTACTTGTAACATCAACATAACTTCTTATAATATCTAGCTCTTCATGATACAAGGTAAATGAAAATAGCTAAGAGTCATTAAAAACACCTGAAAAAGCATGCATCAAATGCAAAAGGATAGTGATAAGAATTGACTTAAAGATAGACAAGAAGTATGTGAAAACACTTCAAAAACCTTAAAAATGACTCAAGAAAGAGTGTACAAATATGGTCAAATCATAGTCCTAGAACTCTTATAACCATCCTTACCCTAAGAGAAATGAGCTTCTAGCCATGCATAGCCATAGCTACAGATACCAGTAGGAGCTTTAGAGCCACAACCATGGAGGTTCAAAAGAGGAAGGGAAGCCTATGATAGGAGAAATGATGGAATGATGAAAACATGAGGGGAAGAGAGAAAAATGAGATGGATAAGTGTAAAGATGTGCATGAACCAGTCGGGGTTCAAAAAGAATTAGTATTTAAGCTCCTAAGTTAGATTTAGGTTGATCTAGGTTAGGTAAAGCTCTAAATTTGTATCATATTCAAAACTGAAATGCACAAGTGTGTTGCGTACTATTTGCCATGGCAAACATGCAAGTTCGCCTTAACAAAGTGCATAGAGAGCATATATTGACTTTTGCTCTTCAATTTTTTATTCTCCAACTATAATCTTTAATGCTCTTCCAGATACCTAAAATGCAAATTACCATGATGTAGCATCACATCCAGCAAGAATTCTTAAATTAAGAATATTAACAAAAGTATGACAATTATGCCCTTTTTAATCCTAAGTTAAGGCAATCACTCTTGACACTGAAATCACTATAAAACATACAATTAAGATCCTTTATCTAGCTAAGAACCCTCAAATGTGCAATGAAATATAATATGAAATATGGTACAATTAATTCTCCCATGCTTAGACCTTTTTTACTCTTAAACAAAGACAATTAAAATAAAACACAGTATCAACTATGACAAGGAATTAATCATGCTCAAAGAAGAACGCAAAGGTTAACCAACTTTGTTCTCAAGCTAACATAAAGAATGACATGCAGCAAAGCAAAAAGATTAACATTAATGAACAATCAAAATAATAAGAGTAATCATACCAAAAAAACCAATAGCAATAATTATGAGAGAGCACTCAAGGAATTAGTGTTTGACTCATGTCACAATTAAGGGTAATTATTCGCTTAAATCCATCTAAATTAGGCCTTATCATAGACTTTTTAGAATTCTAACTCTCCACCAAGAGTTCTCTTAAAAAAGAGAAAATGATAGCAAAGCCAAAGAAAGATTGAAAAAAAAAAAGACGAAAAAGAAACAAGCATGCTAAAGGATAAATATATGCGTTTATATGAACAAAATAAGTATTCCTATTTGTGGTGGAAGGTTAGGACGTGCACTTCCTTGAGTTAGATTGATGTAACTAAGTTCCTAATATTTATTACATGACACTTGCTTCTTTCATCCTTTCTGTTTTGATCTAACCTTTCCATCATTATAACCATTTAAAGACCTCTTGATTCATGGCATAAGTGCTTGATTAGTACTAGAGATTGTAGAACTATCACAAGCCTATAATAGAGTGCTTGCTACTTAGATATGAGTGAAATAACCCTTACAGGTAAGCTATTGTGTGAAATACTTTTATCTTTGATAGTATCGCTTTTGTTCATTCATTCGGCTTAACCATTTATCTCTATTAGTTTCCTTGCATTGTTCATTTCACCACTTTTGATTTCTTGATAGACGTCAGCTGTAGTTTTCATTTTTAAGCATGTTGGTTTCCTCTTGTACTAGTGTTTCCTTGGATTGTTTTGAGTTATGCTTTGTTCAAGAATACAAAGGTTCAAGTATGGGAGAATTGATTTAACCATTCTATTATATGGTTCTACTTGTTGTTTTGAGGGTGTTTGACATGTTTTTATGCCCCAGTTTGGATGATTTTATAGTTTAATTTTGTCATTGTCCTTTGCATTGACTTATGCTTTAACTAGGGGTATTTTCATCATTATTTTATTTAATTCCCAAGTGCCTTGATTTTAAGATGAAAGATATTACAAAATCTTGAATTTCATTATGAACTACTCGAAGAAATTTGAATTGAATTTGGAAAATGACACAAATGACACTACATCCCTATAAAAGGCAATTAAGG